AAAAAAAAAAAAAAAAAAAAAAAAAAAAAAAAAGGAAGAAAGTATCGATAGTAAAAAAGAAAAAAAAAAAGGAACATCTCCACTCGATTCGATATCATCATGGAATATATTGTCGAGAAGTAACATCATTTGACAGGCGATACTTGGAACTCCAATTTATTGATCGCTCGCATTGGCTTCGTTACACCTCGAAAAATCGATACAAGAAATATATAATCGTATGTATATCACCATATAGATATATATATGCGTATATATATATATTTTTTTTTCTCGTTTATTTTCCCGATATTTATATAAAATAAAAGAAACGAATAAAAAAAAAAGAAAGATAAAGAATTGAGAAATATTCCTGTTGAGAAAAACGAAATATTACAGATGGACTAGATACTAATAACAATTTTATTTTCGCCTTAAAATAAACGCGTCTCGTTCGATCCGTCAAAATATATATATATATATTTTTATATATATATATATAATATATAATTCTATAGATATGCGTTTCTATGCGTTTTTTTTATACGTTTCTCGTTCATCTCGTAGTAAAAATATTTTTTGGGCTTCATCTTTGGGCGATCATCGTTATCTCTATGCAAAGGTAGTTAAAAAAATAATTCGATCCTTGCTCGAACGTGACAACGTGAAAAGTTGGAGAAATCCTGTTTGAACGCGCGTTCCTTCGGGCAATTTCAGAAATTGCAGCATTCCGATGCGTCTAGACATCTGTCCTCCTTTTTTCTCATTTATCGATTTCTCGATAAATCAACTCGCGCCCGATGTTTTAAACGGATTTCAAGATTTCTCGCGTGACGATGTCTCGCAATTTATACAAAAATAAATCGTAGTCTGATAGTTATTTAAAGTAAGCCGGAAGACTTCGATTCTTCCCCAGTTCGCGCAGCTTCGATTCAACGATTCGAGAATGTTTTCTTTCTTTTTCTTTTTTTTTTTCTTTTTTTTTCTTTTTTCTTTTCAAAATAAACATCATCCGACGCCGAAATTTCGATAAAAATACATCCTCTTCGTAAAAAGTTGGATACGAGAAAAGATTACAAAAGCTAGAACAGTTTGATTAAATATTTCGATCGTTATTGAGAGTCGAGTAAAAATTTATATCGATAGATATAATATATCGGTATATATTATTATATCGTTTTTTTCAATTCGATATTTTCCATAGCACTCTTTGGCTATTTTGCTTGGAAGGCAGCAGGTCTCCACCTCTTCGATTCGAACGATACGATCTTCGCCGAAGGAGAGATAAATTTTCTCTCGAGAATTCAAACGTTCAAAACTTTCGCCGACACTTTCGTGGGAAGCAATCGTCTCTCTAAATATCTCGACAACCTCGATTACATTCTCCGTTCTTTTACGATTCACTGCGAACAAATTATTTCGTCGCGTTGGGCTCGAGCACGCGACGAATTGCCGCTGAAATTCACATTGTTTCGAAACAACGCATCCTTAAAGAGAGAAGGATGCCTAAAATACGATTCGAAATAGAATACGAAAATTGGTATCCGATTGTTAAAGAGCAACGTTATTCCGAACACATATTGAAACGCACGTGCGAAAATGGTAAAAAAAAAAATTGAAATCGATTCGTTGTTGCGCCGGATAAACGCAGCTCAGTTTGTTATTGCGAACGAAAATAAGGGTTGTGATGTGCGAGAAAAGATCTGCGCGGAATACGATCCTTTTAAAACTTGGTTTTCGCGCGGAACAACGCGACAGAAGGAGATCAACGATTCATTTGACTTGATGACGAGGCGGTGGTCCGGCAGGTGGTAACGTGAGAGAATCCCTTTTCTTCCTGTTGACGCGACGTCCGACGTGCAGAACCACGTCCCCAGCTTTCACGGACTTGAACTCGGCGATCGCCTCGGCGTGCGTCATACCGTGAAGAGGTTTCGAATTTATCGACAAAATTTCGTCCCCTGGAACAAATATTCCATCAACGTTGAGTTTCAACGAAAGCGGATGGAAAGAATGAGAGGATGTTTTTTTTAAGATGACGTCGCACACCTTCCTTGACGGTTCCAAGATCCGCGGCCTGCCCATTGGGGAAGACCGTTTTCACGTAAATGCCCATGTTCCCTCGAGGACTGTCCGTACCGCCGACGATACTGAAACCGAGTCCTTTGTGTCCAGGACCCTTTAGAAATCTAGCCGTCAGTATCGTGAATGACGCGCCACCCTTGCCTGGCCTCGGTAGGGTGCAGAATCTCGACTCTTCACCCTCGCCAGCTTCGTCGATGTCTTCGAGTTCGGAGTCGGTATTCAGGCCTTCGTCCGTGTCTTGTGTACCCTTGAAATAGAAAAAAAGAGAGAGAAATGGAGGTAAAAATAAAAGAGATCTTTTTGTTTTCCCCCACTCACTTGCCAAGTCTTCAAACTGGAACCGGAGGAGCTAGGAATATTGGCAACGCTTCTGCTGTTCATTCGTCTGGTCGTCTTCTTGCCGGGGCTCCTTTCCGCCCCCAAACTGGACGGGCCGTCCTCTTTGTTCACGCACGGTGATCCAGGCCCAGAATTGGAATAATTATTCACTTGTCCACCGACTTTGAAATCGGTCATCCTCTTTCTGGGCGTCACCCTCGGTATGTGAATCTCCTCGAACGAGGCGTCGGTTTGGCTTCTGGGCTTCGCGTTCTTCTGGAAATGGACGTTCTCGTACGAGTGATGGTCCCTCGTTTCCGAGTTGCTTCTCGCCAAGTGTCTGTCGGAATGGGGTGTGGCCGAGGGCGTCAACTCCGACCTGTGACCTCGTTGAAAACGCACGTTCTCGTACGAGTGTTCCTGGTGTCTGCACGAGCCGTCGCGATTCTCCGAGTTGCTTCGTTGCAACACGGCCCTGGATCTTGGGCAACACCCGGGGGACGAATTGGCGTACAACACGTTCTCGTACGCGTCCTTCTGGCTTTGATCGTGGCAAAGAATCGGCGAGTCGTACGCGCTACCGCTTTGAGAATACGTGAACGTCTTACTGGCGTTGGTCAACGGGCTGCTGCAATTGGGTGAATTCGGCGCGCTGCCCTCCGCCAGCGTTTCGAGATTGTCGTGGAAAGGGTAGGGTGGAAGAGAGGTCGGCTCGCTGGAATCGTAGCCGTCTCCGTCGAAGTTCTGACTGCTCGACGAGGTCAGGGGGCTTGGAACGTAGAAATTGGACGCGTTGTCCTTTTGCGAGAACACCTCCGTGACGCTCAGAGCTTTCCTCTTCCGAATACCGGCGTTTATCTTGCTGAACTTGCTTCGTAGAACGTGCTGGATGTCAGCTATACCCTTGGTGGTACCTAGGCGATAGCAACGTTCGATCATCATGATATCGTTGAATTATCGAGATTTTATTTGCGACGGGGAGAAAAAGGAAAGGTAAATTACCTGGTAATCTGAGGGAACTAGTTTGCAACAATTTCTTGGGCGAACTGCCGTCCTGAAGGCTCTTTGCGGCAGGCGAGGACTCCCTGCTAGCCGGGCTGGACCTTACGGGTTGAATAACCCCCTGGGTCGTTCCACCTTGTATCAGAGCCTCCTGTGGTTCCGAGCTCTCCTGGACGGAGCATCTCCTCCTCAGTTTCCTCCATCGTTGACTGATGCTCTTGTTCCATAAATTCAGGTCTGTAATGCAAGAGCGAAAAAAAATTCCGCATGACTACCGGTCGCAGGACGCGCCGCTATCTCGTGACGGGAGGCGAGTACATCGAGGAGCTCGTTAAGGAAACAGGATGGTCCAAAATTGGCCTCGAAAAAAGAGAGGGAAGATACTGTTCCTTAATCATCGGAAGGCTTAACGACAGGAAGCACTTATCTGTTGAACGAGCGATATAGCGTACGATAATATTGTTATTTGTCGAAGATAAAATTGGATCTCGATCGGGAAAGGATCGGAAAGAAGATGGAGGAAAATTAGATATTAGATGATAACGATTCGTTAATAATAATAATTCGAAATCCGGATAAAAACGGCGATTTGATTTTCGACGCGTTTTTCTTTTTTTTTTTTTTGTTCAAAAGTTCAAAACGAAAAAAAATGACGACGAAGAGCGAGACGTACGTTTTTCATAAAACTAGCAACTTATTCGATCATTACAATTCAATATAGTCTCCATGTTGTCGGATCCACGTGACCACAAAGGACGATCGACGTTTGAATCCTGTCCCTTTCACCGATTCCACGAAGGGTCATGCCCCTCTCGACTTCCTCTTCCTTCTCGCGGGCTGGCAGCAGTAGTTTGGCCGACCTTGGGGAAGAAGGCACGCGCATAACAAAACTCGTCGTTTTCCTCACCGGCGGAAGAAAGTTTAAACGTCATGAATAATTGATCGATGATCAATGACAGGCATGGTCGTAAGGTCACTGAGCTTCGGACGTAACACGACTAATCAGGTATGCAATTGCGCGTTCGTCGCCTGGTTTCGGGACACGGGCCATGGTGGCGACGTGTCACGAGGACAACAACACCGATAACAACCACGATGAGGATGGGAACGAAGGGAACGAAGAACTGACGTGCACGCCGTTGTCCTCGGCGATCGTTGCTGACACACTGGGGCGTCGGTGGCGGCTGCACTCGCCATTATCCGGAGTTACAGTCATCTTACAAAATGCACTTTCACTTGTCGACGTATCTGCGGATGCGCCCGGTTTCGCGAGGCCTTTTTCGTTCCGCACCGAACGCCGGACGTTGCGCTTCGTTTTCCATAGATTGCAAACAGTTTTAACCCTTTCGTTCGCGTGGCGAAAAAAGAGAATGAATAATAAATAAAATATCCACGGCCGTGTATCGTGTACACGTTTTCGTTAGATCGACCTTTCCCGATATTCGCGCGGAATGCACGCGTCCAGAGCCGATGATGCGCAATTAGAGACGATCCAGCGCGTTGATCGATGAAGATTCCCTCGATGTTTCATATTTTATGTCCGATTTATCCTGCTTTTA